GCCTGCTCTGGGAGGCAGAGCCCTGTATACACTACTGATATAATGACCGCAGTCATGGCTGGTAATCTCTCTGTATCAGACTGGCTGCTCTGGGAGGCAGAGCCCTGTATACACTACTGATATAATGACCGCAGTCATAGCTGGTAATCTCTCTGTATCAGACTGGCTGCTCTGGGAGGGAGAGCCCTGTATACACTACTGATATAATGACCGCAGTCATAGCTGGTAATCTCTCTGTATCACACTGGCTGCTCTGGGAGGCGGAGCCCTGTATACACTACTGATATAATGACCGCAGTCATAGCTGGTAATCTCTCTGTATCAGACTGCCTGCTCTGGGAGGCAGAGCTCTGTATACACTACTGATATAATGACCGCAGTCATAGCTGGTAATCTCTCTGTATCAGACTGCCTGCTCTGGGAGGCAGAGCTCTGTATACACTACTGATATAATGACCGCAGTCATGGCCGGTAATCTCTCTGTATCAGACTGCCTGCTCTGGGAGGCAGAGCTCTGTATACATTACTGATATAATGACCGCAGTCATGGCCGGTTATCTCTCTGTATCAGACTGGCTGCTCTGGGAGGCAGAGCTCTGTATACACTACTGATATAATGACCGCAGTCATAGCTGGTAATCTCTCTGTATCAGACTGGCTGCTCTGGGAGGCGGAGCCCTGTATACACTACTGATATAATGACCGCAGTCATGGCTGGTAATCTCTCTGTATCAGACTGGCTGCTCTGGGAGGCGGAGCCCTGTATACACTACTGATATAATGACCGCAGTCATGGCCGGTAATCTCTCTGTATCAGACTGCCTGCTCTGGGAGGCAGAGCTCTGTATACACTACTGATATAATGACCGCAGTCATGGCCGTAATCTCTGTATCAGACTGCTCGCTCTGGGAGGCGAGCCCCGTATACACTACTGGATATAATGACCGCGAGTCATGGCCAGTGGTAATCTCTTGTATCAGACTGCTCGCTCTATATGGAGCCTGTATACACTACCGATAATGACCCCAGTCATAGCTGGTAATCTCTGTATCAGACCGTCTGCCTGGGAGTGAGAGTCCCATACACTACTGATATAATGACCGCAGTCATATTGGTAATCTCTGTATCAGACTGCCTGCTCTTGGAGTAAGGAGCCTGTATACACTACCGATATAATGACCGCAGTCATAGCTGGTAATCTCCGTATCAGACCGGCTGCTCTTGGGAGGCTTAGGAGCCTGTATACACCACTGGATATAATGACCCAGTCAGGTCGGTAAATCTCCTTCCAGTATCAGACTGGTAGGGAGAGCCCTGTATACACTACTGATATAATGACCGCAGTCATAGCTGGTAATCTCTCTGTATCAGACTGGCTGCTCTGGGAGGGAGAGCCCTGTATACACTACTGATATAATGACCGCAGTCATATCTGGTAATCTCTCTGTATCAGACTGGCTGCTCTGGGAGGGAGAGCCCTGTATACACTACTGATATAATGACCGCAGTCATAGCTGGTAATCTCTCTGTATCACACTGGCTGCTCTGGGAGGCGGAGCTCTGTATACACTACTGATATAATGACCGCAGTTATAGCCGGTAATCTCTCTGTATCAGACTGCCTGCTCTAGGAGGCAGAGCCCTGTATACACTACTGATATAATGACCGCAGTCATGGCCGGTAATCTCTCTGTATCAGACTGGCTGCTCTGGGAGGCAGAGCCCTGTATACACTACTGATATAATGACCGCAGTCATAGCTGGTTATCTCTCTGTATCAGACTGGCTGCTCTGGGAGGGAGAGCCCTGTATACACTACTGATATAATGACCGCAGTCATAGCTGGTAATCTCTCTGTATCAGACTGGCTGCTCTGGGAGGGAGAGCCCTGTATACACTACTGATATAATGACCGCAGTCATAGCCGGTAATCTCTCTGTATCAGACTGGCTGCTCTGGGAGGCAGAGCCCTGTATACACTACTGATATAATGACCGCAGTCATGGCCGGTAATCCCTCTGTATCAGACTGGCTGCTCTGGGAGGGAGAGCCCTGTATACACTACTGATATAATGACCGCAGTCATGGCCGGTAATCCCTCTGTATCAGACTGGCTGCTCTGGGAGGCAGAGCCCTGTATACACTACTGATATAATGACCGCAGTCATAGCTGGTAATCTCTCTGTATCACACTGGCTGCTCTGGGAGGCAGAGCCCTGTATACACTACTGATATAATGACCGCAGTCATGGCCGGTAATCTCTCTGTATCAGACTGCCTGCTCTGGGAGGCAGAGCCCTGTATACACTACTGATATAATGACCGCAGTCATGGCCGTACACTACTGATATAATGACCGCAGTCATAGCCGGTAATCTCTCTGTATCAGACTGCCTGCTCTGGGAGGCAGAGCCCTGTATACACTACTGATATAATGACCGCAGTCATGGCTGGTAATCTCTCTGTATCAGACTGGCTGCTCTGGGAGGCGGAGCCCTGTATACACTACTGATATAATGACCGCAGTCATAGCCGGTAATCTCTCTGTATCAGACTGGCTGCTCTGGGAGGCAGAGCTCTGTATACACTACTGATATAATGACCGCAGTCATGGCTGGTAATCTCTCTGTATCAGACTGCCTGCTCTGGGAGGCGGAGCTCTGTATACACTACTGATATAATGACCGCAGTCATAGCCGGTAATCTCTCTGTATCAGACTGGCTGCTCTGGGAGGCAGAGCCCTGTATACACTACTGATATAATGACCGCAGTCATAGCCGGTAATCTCTCTGTATCAGACTGCCTGCTCTGGGAGGCAGAGCCCTGTATACACTACTGATATAATGACCGCAGTCATGGCTGGTAATCTCTCTGTATCAGACTGGCTGCTCTGGGAGGGAGAGCCCTGTATACACTACTGATATAATGACCGCAGTCATGGCTGGTAATCTCTCTGTATCAGACTGGCTGCTCTGGGAGGCGGAGCCCTGTATACACTACTGATATAATGACCGCAGTCATAGCTGGTAATCTCTCTGTATCAGACTGGCTGCTCTGGGAGGCAGAGCTCTGTATACACTACTGATATAATGACCGCAGTCATGGCCGGTAATCTCTCTGTATCAGACTGCCTGCTCTGGGAGGCAGAGCCCTGTATACACTACTGATATAATGACCGCAGTCATGGCCGTACACTACTGATATAATGACCGCAGTCATAGCCGGTAATCTCTCTGTATCAGACTGCCTGCTCTGGGAGGCAGAGCCCTGTATACACTACTGATATAATGACCGCAGTCATGGCCGGTAATCTCTCTGTATCAGACTGCCTGCTCTGGGAGGCGGAGCTCTGTATACACTACTGATATAATGACCGCAGTCAGAGCCGGTAATCTCTCTGTATCAGACTGCCTGCTCTGGGAGGCAGAGCCCTGTATACACTACTGATATAATGACCGCAGTCATGGCTGGTAATCTCTCTGTATCAGACTGCCTGCTCTGGGAGGCGGAGCTCTGTATACACTACTGATATAATGACCGCAGTCATAGCCGGTAATCTCTCTGTATCAGACTGCCTGCTCTGGGAGGCAGAGCCCTGTATACACTACTGATATAATGACCGCAGTCATAGCCGGTAATCTCTCTGTATCAGACTGCCTGCTCTGGGAGGCAGAGCCCTGTATACACTACTGATATAATGACCGCAGTCATAGCTGGTAATCTCTCTGTATCAGACTGGCTGCTCTGGGAGGCGGAGCTCTGTATACACTACTGATATAATGACCGCAGTCATAGCCGGTAATCTCTCTGTATCAGACTGCCTGCTCTGGGAGGCAGAGCCCTGTATACACTACTGATATAATGACCGCAGTCATAGCTGGTAATCTCTCTGTATCAGACTGGCTGCTCTGGGAGGCAGAGCCCTGTATACACTACTGATATAATGACCGCAGTCATAGCTGGTAATCTCTCTGTATCAGACTGGCTGCTCTGGGAGGCAGAGCCCTGTATACACTACTGATATAATGACCGCAGTCATGGCTGGTAATCTCTCTGTATCAGACTGCCTGCTCTGGGAGGCGGAGCCCTGTATACACTACTGATATAATGACCGCAGTCATGGCTGGTAATCTCTCTGTATCAGACTGCCTGCTCTGGGAGGCGGAGCCCTGTATACACTACTGATATAATGACCGCAGTCATGCTGGTAATCTCTCTGTATCAGACTGGCTGCTCTGGGAGGCAGAGCCCTGTATACACTACTGATATAATGACCGCAGTCATAGCTGGTAATCTCTCTGTATCAGACTGGCTGCTCTGGGAGGGAGAGCCCTGTATACACTACTGATATAATGACCGCAGTCATGGCTGGTAATCTCTCTGTATCAGACTGGCTGCTCTGGGAGGCAGAGCCCTGTATACACTACTGATATAATGACCGCAGTCATAGCTGGTAATCTCTCTGTATCAGACTGGCTGCTCTGGGAGGCAGAGCCCTGTATACACTACTGATATAATGACCGCAGTCATGGCCGGTAATCTCTCTGTATCAGACTGCCTGCTCTGGGAGGCGGAGCTCTGTATACACTACTGATATAATGACCGCAGTCAGAGCCGGTAATCTCTCTGTATCAGACTGCCTGCTCTGGGAGGCAGAGCCCTGTATACACTACTGATATAATGACCGCAGTCATGGCTGGTAATCTCTCTGTATCAGACTGCCTGCTCTGGGAGGCGGAGCTCTGTATACACTACTGATATAATGACCGCAGTCATAGCCGGTAATCTCTCTGTATCAGACTGCCTGCTCTGGGAGGCAGAGCTCTGTATACACTACTGATATAATGACCGCAGTCATGGCCGGTAATCTCTATGTATCAGACTGCCTGCTC